AGATGCAGTTTTCTTGTACACGTATACTTGGCGTGTAGATTCGAACTAGATCTAGAACTGGGGAGGGACTTAGCTTACTCCTGGGCCTGGCTGGATTCTTTTTATTCATGCAAGAGTGGCGAGGATAGCTAAAATAAATATTTTAGCCATTCTCTGTGTGCTAACTACCTTTACTTTCATCCGAGAAGGCTTATTTCTCACATGCATCATGCCTGCCAACAGGTGACTGGCATTATTATTCTCCAATAATAGCCCCTTTTGGGCCTTCACCTGGCTTATACTTATTTATACTTACAGATAGCAGAAATACTTTTAGCAGCTGCTTCCGGCATCCTTAATCAAATGCGACCAGAACCTTCCAGCCCTGGGCACTCTGAGTCAGAATGCCAGTTGACCACTTGGGTCTCACGAATATAATATTGCATATGGTGTATGTTAAAGTATTTTCAGTAAATTTTAGGCCTCATAGTGGCTTAGCAGATTCGTTTTGCAGGCTAAACCAGGGAGGCGTAATTGCTCTATTTTGCCTTTCCAATTTTTTTTAAAGCAAATTTGTTGCCAACAATAACAGAAAAGAGAGGTTTTACATAAAGATCTTGGTATTTGGCTTGCTCTGGGAAAATGGGGACATCGGCCACACCAGGCCCTATTCCTCTTTGGTGATTTTCTTTTCCAGTGGATTAGAAGCAGCCTACACTGAGAATGGGCTCCTGGGGAGGGCCCAGCACTGCCTAGCGTCCCCCTATGCTGACACTAAGTATCAAGTGCCCTTTAATGGTTGAGATTGGGCTGCTGCTGTGCAGGACCCCCTCCCCCCTTATTCCTGCCTGGCCCCTCTAGGTATTTGAGCATTCGACCCTTGCAACTGTCACACACTTTTTCTTCTTTGCTCAACACTTGTGCTTTGCTCAGGCTGTTTCTCTGTCTGGAATGCCATGTCCTTTTAGGCTTGCTTATCCAGGTCTTAACCTCTTCTCGAAGGCCAGGTGGTCCGAGGCCCCACTGGGTGTGGAACCTGTCATGACTATGACAGCCCGTAGTTCCTCTGTCCACACAGACAGCACAGTGTAGCTCTGTTCATTGTTTCCTGGCCTCCCTTTCCTTGCTGGTCAAGGCTTAAAGCCAGGAAACCTACCTTTCATATTTTGTATCTACCACTGTAAAAATGTTCGTGCTTAACCCTCACCCCAGTTCAAAGGCAAAGAATAGTAGCTTATCGATCGAGCTCACATTTGTTGGAAAGCAGATTTATACATGGGGAAAAGAAGCAGAAGAGTGTTATCCATATGAATGTAATATAAAATTAGCAGAACCGAGAAAGCTGGTAAGGAAACAAAGGCCCAGAAGCCCCGGTTAAGTGGTTGGCAGACCCACATGGCTGGGAGCAGCATGGCCCCTGCCGGTGAGGACCATGCTCTTTCCTGGAGGGTCCGCCCACTCTCCATATCAGGTGGCTAATACCGAAAACCCTGCAGGTCTGCCCTGGGGCTCAACATTCACATATATAAAAATAAGACTATTCCCGGAGTGACTTAATCATGTACCACAAACGAGGCAAAGGTGTTGGATGCACATCAGACTAACCACATCCTAACACAAGGGCAGCTGTGAAAAAGCCCCAAGGCGCCGAGAGTCAGGATGTCAAGGATGCTGCCGTTCTTAATCGGGATGTGCAGAACGGCCTCTCCTGACCGTGCTACACTTAGTGGAGGGAACAGCGTACCTGGACGACGACAGATCATCCGGTGCACAGGCAGACTGCGAGGGCCAGTTGGACGGCAGGGCTGATGATGGATCTGGGGGATAACCAGTGAGTCCTTCAGCAGGGGGAGGCTCAAGGTCTCCAGCTGGGGCAGGAGAGGAAAAAAGAGGGAGTCAGATTTGCGTGTTGTGCTGAGGGATTTTGACTTTATCCTGGGTAGGATAGGGGAAGTCCTGGGGAAGGACGTTAAGGCCCTCTGAGGGAGAAGTCAGGTGTGTGACCGAGGAAGGCCTGGTTGCCAGGGCATGGTCCTGGAGAAAGCCGGAGGAAGGTGGGGGTTTAGGAGGCTGCCGCTAAGTGGGTGGATTCAAAAGATGTGAGGGGAGCCTTTCAGTTCCTAGGCTGACAGCATTCTTTCTGGTTTGAGATGCAGCTATTCCCAGAGGCAGGAAGATGGACTGGTTAACTCTGTGTGGAGCCTTTGATTCCCTGTTGCCAGACAGACGTTCATGGTTTCTGACCCACGTGTGTCTTGTTGCACTCCCTTTGGCGGTATAGACGTCCCTCTTAGCAAATAAGGACTTTTTTCAGTGGCTCTGCCCCTCCCCCGCCCCTCCTTCTCACCATCCTATGCATGCTGTCTGGAAAGAATAGAGCAATTTTCCTTTTTACACACGTACCCTATGTACTTCAGTCAAAGTGTCGTCTGTCAGTACATAGAAATCTTTATGTATACACATTGGCAATCCATAGGAGCCACTTATGTATTTACTCTGGAGTCATAAGCATGAGTAGATGTTAGGATTGGCATTTTCTGCTTCTGGAATTTTTGTTCTGAGCTTTAAAGACATTTAACCATCTGTTTATGGCTTTAAAGTGAGTGTTCTAAGTGGAGGCTATGAATAAATAAGTGAATCATGAAGGATATATTGAAGGGGTCCATAATAAATTGCTACTATACAACTCTTTTCAGCTGTTTTTGCATCTCTAAAAAGGTCTAATGTAATTATATGGTATTTTTAAGGAATTAAAAAATTTAATGTTAACTATGGATTTTTATCTGGATTATATCTTTTAGGAGAGACTGGGGTGTAGAGTTGCTTCAACTGCATTAAAAAAAATCTATTTTTCCTTAGAGCAACTTCTCATATTCTTACTTATTTACAGATGACATGTACTTAGTATTTTGTTATAAAAAATTTTTTTTAAAGATTTTATTTATTTGAGAGAGAGTGTGCATGAGCAGGGGGAGGGGCAGAGGGATCAGGAGAAGCAGACTCCCCACTGAGCAGGGAGCCCAGTGCGGACTCCATCCCAGGACCCTGGGATCATGACCCAAACCAAAGGCAGATGCTTAACTGACTGAGCCACCGAGGCATCCTTGTTGCAAAATTATTTTAATAGAAATGGAATGTTCGGTTCATTGTTGAACTTTTCAGAAATACAAGTTAAGTTGAAATTAATATTTTTCAAAGCCGATCATGTTATCTTTTCCTCTAGCCAAATATAGTAGATGCTTACAAATAATTTAATTCACCTAGTTCTTCTGTAAGAACATGAATTTTATTTGCTCCTACCCACAGGAGACTGTTTCACTGGTTCTAGAGATTTCTTTTCACAAGGCTTCATTTTTCCCTCAGAAATATAAGAATTCAAAGACTTTTAGAGTTTGGCACATATGTGCAAATTAAATTATATAGCATTTTCAAAATATGCTTTTGCTTAATATTATCATGAGAGGAGCAGTTGGAACAAAGACTCCATTTGTCAATTTTTATTCCTTTTACTTGTAGTTGAAATCCTGTTGGGAGTTGATTAAATGTAAATGTAAATAAAATGAAACAGTCAATATATTTCAACTCAGGGAACTGGTTACAGTGTCACTGCATCACAACATTGAAGGCCTAAAGCAAATGCTAACACATTTTGACCTTGGCTTGTGCTTGATGTTGTTCTTTGGTAATTGCTGTCATCCTGGCAAGTCATCAAAGGGGACCAACAAAGGAGAATTATAGGAGAACAATTTGAAGGGGCTCAGGATACATAGTCGGCTGCAGCATTTTGAGGTGTTGACTACTTTTTTTAATTACCATTTACTGGCTTACTACTGAGCTGTCCTTGAGTTGGCTCTAGCTTGTAGGTCTGTATTAGCCTTGAGTGGTTGGTACTTTAACTTATCAACTAACTTCAACTTTTAATAAAAATCTATGCAGAAATGCATGCATTAATAATCACCGGGTATTCCTTCTCTGTGGTCACAAACGCACATCATTTTTGCATAAATACACGTGTGTATGTATATAGAGTATTGCCTAATTCATCATCCTACAAAAAGAATTTCTAGTATGTAATAGATGTTAAGAAGAGTATTATTTCATTCTACAAACCATTGTATCTATACTTAAGAAAATTATCCAAAAAGCGAACGTTGGAAAAAAAAAAAACTTTGCTGACTGAGCTTTTCCCTTGTGTTGATTGCTACATCTGTACAAACCTGGGCAGTTGGCTTTAGGTACCTGGGTTCATGGATTTGTTATTGTGATTTTGCCTAAGGTGTCAGCACTGTTTAAGCAAGGCTGTGAGAATGTGGAAGATGAATGTTATTATCCTTTATTTAAATCTTTTTACTGAATTATAATTAACATAGTGTTATATTAGTTTCAGGTGTAAAATATAATGGTTAAGCAATTCTATACATTACTGAGTGCTCATCACCATAAGTGTAGTCTTAATCCCCTCTGTTTCACCCTCCCCCAAGCCACCTTTAAAAAAATCCACTCCCCAAACATTGATGATGTGGAATTAAAGAAGCTGGAAAATAATCATAACAAAAGAAACACATAAAAAGAAACTACATCACATACTGGTTTTACTGCTTCCTGTGCTATTCACCCCCCTCCCCCATGCTATTCTTAGAAATGATTTGTTGAAATGAATCTTAGCAAAAAGCTAAGATCCTTTATATTTAGGGCTCTGAGAATGCGTTTTTATTTTTATTGAATTAATAATTTATGGTTAGTTATGACTTCTGATACCTTTTTGGTAGAACATATAATTTGGTATGCTGAGTTTCTGGACTGGTGGGCTTGCTGACCCATCACCGCTGATGGTGTTCTCTGAAGTGTAGGTTGGCGGGTGGCGGGACTGCCTTGGTATACCCCCGAGAGAGCTTCATGGTGTTTGGAACAATTCATCATCACTGGAAAGGTCCCCAGGAAAAGAGAGGTTTATAAAGTCAGAATGTGTAAGCAGTAATATCTTACATAAAATAAGGGTGATTTTTTTTTTTTTCTTTTAGATTTTGGGGTAAGTGCATTCTTAGCAACAGGGGGTGATGTTACCCGGAATAAAGTAAGAAAAACATTTGTTGGTACTCCGTGTTGGATGGCCCCCGAAGTCATGGAACAGGTAAAAAAAAAAAAAAAAAAAAAAAGATGCTTTGTATCACTAAATACATTAACATTTCATTCAAGTCAATCATTTTACTAGAATGCATCATGTAACTAAGATTTAGTTCCTGATTGGTGGGCCTTAGCAAAGTAATATCAAAGTTGTACATCGCTGCCGTAGACCTCCAACATAATATGGACTTCCTGGCGGGTGACCTGCCTACTGTATAATTGTGTTTTTTCCTCCTTCTGTTCTTAGGTGAGAGGCTATGACTTCAAGGCTGACATGTGGAGTTTTGGGATAACTGCCATTGAATTAGCAACAGGAGCAGCGCCTTATCACAAATACCCTCCTATGAAAGTAATTACTATTGGAAATAATATGTCGGGCTTGAAATAGGATTTAATGGAATCTGTTCTGTAATTCTCTTAAACATAGTCATTTTTCTCTTAGACCTGAGGAGAATTAATGGAGGAATGCAGCCAAGTTAAATGTTGTCGGATGTGGACAGAATAGCTCAAAAGTGGTCCAGTTCCCGGCTTTGAAGCTCGCGTTACATTCTTAGCAGAGAGCTGTCTGAAGACTGCGATCACTTTGGCCAGTGGAGGTTGAGAACTGGGACAAATGCTGGTCACTACTCTTTTGATAGCCGAAGACCCCAGACCCCCAAGGAAAATCTAAAAATAGATTGCAGTGACATCGTCTTTGCAGATGGATTTCCCCCATTTTTTTTTAAATGCTCTGTGACATTTCACCCCTGTGCTGTGTCATGTTGGTGACTCATCTGAAATAAGGGAGCCCAGTATTTTTAGGCAATAACCTACATTTGGATGGTGTTTTCAGATTTTTGTGATTCTTTTAACTGGCCTACGTTATTATTTCACTTATTCTGAGATGGTGGTATCAGGGCTAATGGACCCAATTAGATTTTGTTTGGGGGCTGAAATAGCTGGGGGAAATGATGAAGGTATTTTACAGAGAATACAGTTTCTGTCTTGTTTCAACCTTTTCCTAGGAAAATACTGGAAAAATTTAGGAGGATTAAGAAAAACCTGAGGATAAACAAAGTTCAATAATTTTACTGATTATAAAGTTAATATGTTCTTATGAGGGAAAATTTGGAAGTCCAAAAAAGAATAAAGAAGGAAATAAATCATTCATAATTTCATCAATCACAGACAATCCCTGTTAAGGTCTCAGCGTAGTTCATTACATTGTTCTTTTCTCTCTGTATTTATGTACATATTTTTAACATACTTAAGATTAGGGTGTGTGTGTGTATACATACCTGCCTTTGTTAGCAGAAAATTCAAAGTTGAGGCATCTTCTCTGTATCAGTCACCATTCTCGTGGAGACTGTTTGCTATCAAGCATCTTGAAATTATTTATTGTAAAAGGGATCAAAAGGGTCAGTTCAACTGACCTTGTAGAGAAAAAGCACTGAAGCAACTCAGGATTTTCCCTTCCATCTGGTTTTTCGGCATTATTTTTTTCTTATTTCTTGTTTTCTTTCATTCCCCACTCCTTTGCGTGTCCCACCCACCCGAATCCAAAGTCCCATTGCTCACCCCAGCCCAACGTCCTGTGGGGCTCTGCTGGGACTTCACAGCTTGCCCACTTTCTTCTGTTTGCTGTTATCCTCCACAATCAATAAACTGTCAGTTTAATCCTTCATCTATTCACACATCTGAAAGTGTTTGAAAGGAGTCTTGGTATGTATAGCATTTGCATAAATTAAGGCTGATTTATGCATTAAGGAGGTTTATTCCTTTTATAGGTCAATAGTTTACTACAAATTCTACTCTTTTTTTTTAAACAAGTAATTTTGATGTTGTGAATGAATGGAATTTTTACCTTTTTGATTTGAAGCTGTATTTTGGTTTTGTTTTGTCCCCCCTCCAGAAGCAGTGTGGCCTTTTGCTCTGGTTATGATTTTCAGGAACTCGTATTCTGGCTAACTTTAAGCGTTCTTACTGCCTCAATTTTGCCAAGGCTTTAAGTGATATTCTGTAGGTTTTCTCATTAAAAAAAAAAAAAATCATGTGTTACCTTCTGGGATATTGTGGATTTATTTTTAGGGTTGGCAGTGTGTTAACAGAAGCCTTGAGTACTGGCGGTTCCTTACTTATGAATGACCTGTACACATGAGCGCTCACTGCTGCTCGGCCCCCCCCCACCCCTCCCCTTTCCCAGCCACCACTAAGCCTGTGCTGGAGCTACGTGCTCCCTGAGGCTGTGTGGGAGCCAGTTCCCAGTTCTGTTCCGGCTTTGGGACCTCGTTCTTCACACACACAACAGATTTTGTAAGTTCTGTCAATGGAATAACAAAAAGGTGAAAGGGCATGTGAACAGATTCGCTAATGGAAATGAGTACTTTGAATACACACTTTCGGGAAGGTTAAAATCATGGGAAAGCACCTCCTCATCAAGGATGGTCCCTAGCGCTTCTGTGAAACATTAAGAACTCGAACTAGGGCAGAGGCTGTACTGAGATTCTGTCTTGGTGTTTGTTTCTGCTGCAGGTGTTAATGTTGACTTTGCAAAACGATCCACCCACTTTAGAAACAGGAGTAGAGGATAAAGAAATGATGAAAAAGTACGGCAAGTCCTTTAGGAAATTACTCTCACTGTGTCTTCAGAAAGATCCTTCTAAAAGGTATGTCGAACTTTGTGGATGAGTTAATGACCTGGTTTGAATCACGACAAAGCTTTGTTTGTGGCTGGGAAAAGGCTGTGTGAGGAACCTGGAAGGTACTTCTAGTTTAAGGGAAATCCTGCTCTGGCCCCTGGTTTCCAACCTGTTAGTGGAAGAGAGCGTGGGTCTGAGAGGGAGAGGAGTGAGCCTGAGGGAGAGGTAGAGGAAAATTTTTAGTGTTAATGAGATTCACTGTGTTTGTTAGGTATGGGCTCTGTCATCGAAGGAAATGAAATAAAACAAATCAAAAGAAATTGGCAGCGGTGCACTCAGAAATTGAGCTAATATTCTGCACTGTGTAGGTTGAGCTGACCTCTCAGGATTTGAATGTCCTGCTAGCTCCAGTCTAAACCAGGCAGAGCTATTGAATTTTGCATGAGCTTCCTTTTAGTTGCAGAACAAGTTGTGCTGTTTAAAAGATTATCAGTAAAGAAGATTAAGATTTTTGCATTAGAAACATTAATCATATAAACAGAAGCAAATGGTTTGAAATTAACGTTAGGGGTTTCTCTTTATTCTTGGGTTATTGCCCTGCTCTGTAGTGTGTCTGTTTTCTGAGTTTATTTCTTCTTTCTTAACATCTGTGACTTTGAATACCCCGGCTAGTGGTAATATAGCCCCATATCTTTTATCGCTTAAAGAAGGATGTTAATGACGTGAGCCACACAGGCCTTGCCCAGGTAGAGTCTCTTTGTCGAGCTTGGTTGTCTGTGTTGTGGCGCTAGTGTACCATCAGCATAGACCACCCATCTGGCGAGGCCACTGGGGCGTCACTGGCCACCTCATGCGCCCAAGGGTTCGATTTGATACTTATATTTGAAAACGTAAAAACCTGGCTTCTCTTCTGAAGCTTTCCTTTTCAGGGAAGGACCCTGCTTTTGGAGGGATTCCCGTCTTCCTAAATCCTTTATGAAACTTAAGCCTTTTCTCTTTACACAGTAATCTGCTGTTTGAGTAGGCAGCCCTTCTCTAGATTGAACAGAGTTTCCATATTTTACCCCATTCTTTGTAGCTACTCTTGTCATTCCTTTACATTTTACTGACTTTGCTTTGAATCTTCTCTGTATCAGTCACCATTCTCGTGGAGCTAGGTCGAAAGACTGTTGGCTATCAAGCATCTTGAAATTATTTACTGTAAAAGGGATCATTGTTTTGTCACACCATTAGGCTGTTTCTGCTTAAACATCTTAGTTGCCCTTTCTATTTGATTTGTGGGGCTTGTTTTTCTTCTGAAGTTAAACTCATCTTTCATTGAGGTTACTTCTTCACACTCCTATTGGGTGAAAATGCTCTTAGATTCTCATTTTCTTCTGCAACACTTGCTTGTCTTACGTTTGTATTTGGTGTCGTCTCCAAACATAAATTTTTGGCATCACCAAGGAAATAATTCGATCCTCCAGAGCCCAATGAGAGAGGTACCTGTTTTCCCAGTTAGCACCGGGTTATTGATGGTCTTTGTGATTCACAAACTAGTTGAGATCCCACCTAGTGGTGATGATGTGTAATGTCACATATTTCTAGCCCTTCTGGAAAGATACTGTAGGGTAGAATTGCTGGTGTACTAATGATACACAACAGATTTCTTTAGGAATTTGTAAATTAGTCAGAATAAATTAGATTAGCATACATTATATTTAACAAATTGTCCTTATTTCTTAATAACCTTGAAAGTCTTGCAGAATTATTTATTATATGAGCTCAAATGTCAGGTTCCTACCACCCACCCTACCGCCCCCCCCAAATTCTCAAATAGAGTTTTGCACCATATATTTGAATTCTTACAAAGTCTTCCTCTCAGAGTGCTCTCTTAGTGACTTATTGATTTACAAAGTATTAATAATTTAAGGACTTCTTTTAGATATTTTCATTATAACATAATCTAATCTCACTGTTGTGCAGTTGTCTTCTATAACAGTGTTAGTGGTGCACCAAATTCTTGGGGACTCTTAAAAATTGAAGTATAATTAACATATGGTGTTGTATTAGTTTCAGGTGTACAATATAAGGATTCAAAAACTCTATACTCAGTGCTCATCACGATAAGTGTACTCTTAATCTGCATCACCTGTTTCACCCATCCCCCACCCACCTTCCCTCTGGCAACCACTGGTTTGTTCTCCATATTTAAGAGTCTGTTTTGTTTGTCTGTTTTGTTTCTTAAATTTCACATATGAGTGAAATCATATGGTATTTGTTATTCTCTGACTTATTTCACTTAGCATTATATCCTCTAGGTCCATCCATGTTGTTGCAAATGGGAAAATCTCATTCCTTTTTATGGCTGAGTAATATTCCATTGTATATATATATACCACATCTTTTTTATCCATTCATTTATCAATGGACACTTGAGTTGCTTCCATATCTTGGCTATTGTAAATAATGCTGCAATAAACATAGGGGTATGCATCTATCTTTTTGGATTAGTGTTTTCTTTAGGTAGATACCCAGTAGTGGAATTACTGGATCATATGGTAGTTCTATTTTTAATTTTTTGAGGAACTTCCATACTGTTTTCCACAGTGGCTGCACCAATTTGCATTCCCAGTAGCAGTGCATTTGGTTTCCTTTTTCTCCACATCCTCGCCAACATTTGTTTATCTTTTTGACTAGCCATTCTGACAGGTGTAAGGTGATACTTCTTTGTGTTTTTTTTTTAAATTAAATTAAATTAATTTTTTTAAGTAAACTGTCCTACAACGTGGGGCTCGAACTCACAATCCTGAGATCAAGGTCGCATGTTCTACTGACTGAGCCAGCCAGGTATCTCTTTCATTGTGGTTTTGACTTGCATTTCTATGATGATGAATGATATTGAGCATCTTATCATGTGTCTGTTGGCCACTTACATGTCTTCTTTTGAGGAAAAAAATTCATGAAATATGAGAATGGGAAAAAAATATTGAATCTATTATATAGGATGCAGTTTTAAAATATGTATTCATTACTAAATAAGTAAACATTTAATTACTACCCAAATCTGCAAGAAACCATGAATATTTCCTGTCTTCTCTGTCTTTGCTCATGTTATTCAAAGGTTCTTCCTCTTCCTCTGTCGCCCTTCCACCCTCTTTTAGTGCTTACTTGAAAGCATTAATCTTCTTAGCGTTAGATAAATCTGGGTGAGATTCCTAGCCTCATCTACATGACTTAGTTTCCTTGTCTGTAGAATGGGCCTAATAACACCTACTTCATAGGATTGTCATGAGGATGGAATACAATCACGCACTGAAAGAGGATAGCCCGGGCACGCCTGGGTGGCTCAGTGAGTTAAGCCTCTGGCTCTTGGTTTTGGCTCAGGTCATGATCTCAGGGTGGTGAGATCAAGCCCCGTGTCGGGCTCCGGGCTCAGCATGGAGTTTGCTTGAAATTCTCTCGCCCTCTCCCCCTGCTTGCATGTGCCCTCTCTCTCTCTCTCTCTCTCTCTCTCTCAAAATAAATAAATAAATCTTAAAAAAGGATAGCACAGTGCCTAGGGGTTCCTAAGTATTCAGGAAATTGGGATTGCCGTTCACTATTTGCCTTTTTCTTCCTGACCGAGTGGAATTATTACGACCCTTAGTTTTCCTACAGTATGTTGAGATATTTCTCTTATAGCACTTTTCACCCTATGCATTTATTGACTTACACATCCAATTTCCTCATACGTTTGTAAGTTTTTTATTTTATTTTTTTTAAGATTTTATTTATTTATTTGAGAGAGAATGAGAGATAGCATGAGAGGGAAGAGGGTCAGAGGGAGAAGCAGACTCCCTGCTGAGCAAGGAGCCGGATGTGGGACTCGATCCCGGGACTCCAGGATCATGACCTGAGCCGAAGGCAGTTGCTTAACCAACTGAGCCACCCAGGCGCCCATACGTTTGTAAGTTTTTTAGAAGAAGAACCTGTGTCATTCATCTTTATGTCTTTCTTTTTTTTAAATTTTATTTTATGTTATGTTAATCACCATACATTACATCATCAGTTTTTGATGTAGTGTTCCATGATTCATTGTTTGCGTATAACACCCAGTGCTCCATTCAGTATGTGCCCTCTTTAATACCCATCACCAGGCTAACCCCTCCCCTTACCCCCTCCCTCTAGAACCCTCAGTTTGTTTCTCGGAGTCCATAGTCTCTCGTGGTTCATCTGCCTCTCTGATTTCTATCCACAGTGTTGGGTCTGTATTACATATTTGATATTTCTTGAGCAACTGGAGACAATTGGGAGCTTGCAATCTGGGGATGATTTGGACTCACTGAAGAGTGTTTCAGAAACAAACCAGATTCAAGTGGGTTGAGGAGTAAATGCAAGATTTTTGATAATTTTTATTTATTTTGCATATTGATCATCTACTTGTAATCTGAAAGCAGCTGACAGGTACCAAAACCCTGGTCTAGCTGAGTACCTTCTTAGCAACGAATAGAAACATCACAGGTGAACAGTGACTAGGACAGATTCAGTCCTGTGCTGGAGCCCTCAGGCTGCCTGAGAAGGAGCTGTGTTTGCTGTCAACCTGAGAACTCATGGAACTTTCCTAATTAAAGAGAGCTGGGGTGTTGGAGCTATTTGCCTCATCCAAGTCTGTGCTCTGCATTGGCACAGACTAAGAGGTGCTTATATTTGCAGAACATGTTGCTATTTCTTAAAAAATAAGCCTTAATCCTGTAGACTATGTACTTCATATGGATGGCAACTGTAAAAGGAACCAGCATTTTCTTCGAGCAACAGGAGGGTGCATATCACATAGATAAATTCATTAGAAGTGAATAAAACTTGAATATTTCTTTTGGGGGGAGGGGAGGGTGAGAGATGCCGTTCTCCCCGAGGTCAGTGAGATTTTAGAAATTATAATGCAGATTGTTAGAACTACTTAAACTGTATCATGTTCATCCTGAATCCTTTGAAATTTATTTGAAGTCTCAGTGGACTTTGGTTCATCCATATGTATTAACTGAATCCTTTAAGAGATTTTCTTCTGAGAATGTTGGTACTTGCAGACTACTGCATTGTTTTTAAAGATTTTTTTTTTTTTTAAGATTTATTTATTTGACAGAGAGAGAGAGTGCGCGTGAGAGAGAGCACAAGCAGGGGGAGCTGCAGGCAGAGGGAGAGGGGGAGGGAGAAGCAGGCTCCCCGCTGAGCAGGGAGCCTGATACAGGGCTGTTTTTAAGGATTTAAAGTGGAATCGTCATTCATAGCCTGTACCATTATTTGGGTTGCTGGTGTATAGGATTTACAAGCTTTACTTGTGAACGACAGTGTCTGTATTTATGTTATGTTGCATTATTTGAAAATTGTTAGCAGCCGTGTAAGGCGTAACTGCTTGCAGAATTCTTTCTCTTCTGTGGTGCTTAGCTAAGAGGCCGGCAGCATGGACAGTTCCATATTAACCCTGTACTGGTGGTTGCTATAGCATAAAGCTGAAACAAACAAGCAAGCGAACAGAACACAAAAACCCTAAAGTCAGTTGGGCAGCATGCACCTCCCCTTCTCTCATGCCTTCTATCACTTTATTCCTCCCTCATTTTCCTCATTCTTTCCAGTTCCACTTTCCCATACTTTCTTATGGAGATTGCTTGGCAACTTGTATGATTCTGCTTCCAAAGCTATAGACATTTGAGGTCATTTGAGCTAACAGAGGATTTGCTGTTTAGTTCTTCTGCGTGTGGAGTAGACCTTTTATTTTGTATGACCTGTATGGCCTATTAACATAAGTGTTGAGCCTATACAGGAAAGAATGTGGCTCCTTTAAACCATTTCTCATTTCTTATGTGATTGTATTTATTGAGGAAGGCTAAGAATGGAGAGTGCAGAGAAAGGAGTTTTCTCTGCAGCATGCTTTCCCCTTTACAGTTTTGGTCACCATAGAAATGACCTTGCTGGGGAAGGGAAGGTATTTTCCCAGCCCTGTATCTTGAGGTATGTCTGGCATTTCCCAGTCTCTTCTCTGTGTTGGCCCTACACCTGACCCCTTAGTGTGTGGAAGGAGGAAGCAGGGTGCAGAGGAGTGAGGGAAGCATGGGGCTGTCCACTTCAGGACCTCCACTGTGCACGACTTACTCCCCCCCGCCTTTTTTTTGTTGTTGTTAGCATGAGTCTTATTTCATTACATCGTTCTCCTGTTCCCTGCTACCTTGAACAGATGCTTAGAATTTGGTGTTGACTAGATTTGGCTCTAGGAGTTGTGGTTCTGTGTCTGAGTGTCTGGTAGCATCACTTCTACCCCATATTTGATTATGGTATGGAAATTGAGCTATAACGATTTTCTGGTCTGTGTTGCACATTGAGGACATAAAAAATGAATCCTCTGTGGTCCCTGTCTTGAAAGGGCTTATAATAGGGGGTCAAGGTGGGAAGACATAGGCACAGATAATTACAGAATAGGAGTGTGGGTAGATTGGTGTGTGAGCACTGAGTAGGGAGCAATGAATTCTACTTGTAGGAGCTGAGCAAAGTATCTCTGAAGACGATGACATTTAAATTGGCTCTTGACTGATGAGCAAGGCTGTGACAGTCAGTTACAAAGATTTCTGAAGAAAAGCACTGTGTGCCTTGTCATGAAAGAGAACGAGAAGGAGGAGTACCAGCATAGCCAGAGGACAGAGTTCACGAGGGGCATGATGGGAAACAAGGACGGAGGAGCCAGCATCCTGTCTGGCCACTGAAATCTGTTAGGATGGATAAGAATCGGGTTTTTATAGAAACCAGCTCTGGAGCAAGGTGGGTGATAGGTTAGAATGAAGAAGAGAGACATAGCAGAGAGACTGGCAGTGGGGGGAAGGGAGGGCGGCTGTTGGAACTGAGTTGACCAAAGGCCATGAAGGTTTCGACTGAATCAGTGGCCTTGATTGAGTCCCTTAATCATCTTGATTTTCTTAGGTTCCTTTTCACTTAAAAAAGTTAAATCTAAGTTATTTTGTATGCCTCTTGGTTTTTAAAGTTTTGTTTCATGTTAATGAGGTGCCAAACACGACACCAAGTCTCAGTCAGTAGAGCGTGGAATGGTTGCCCTGTATGTTTCCTCTGTGGCCCTCCCCTTCGCCTGGGGCTCCATTCCAGCGTTTGAATGTTCTCATGTGCCTCTTAGAGCCTAACCACACATGCTAATTCATATCTGCTAGATTCAAGTTGCTGGAGGTAGTGTTAGTGTCTGTCGCATTCACTGCGGTATGCCTAGCACCCAGCATCATGCCTGACAAAGAGTAGATGCTTCCTAAATATTTACAGAGGGAATGAGGATGAATTTGGAGTAGCTGGAGGCCAAAAACATTGCCAATGATCAGTACGGGTGTACATTAAAATAACAACCGAAGTTAAATCATGTGAAATAGCAGAAACATTTTTGGTTCTAGTGTGCCTGTTTAACGAGGTACAAATCTATGAATTTGAACAAGCTCCCTGAGGGGATATGGCACACAAAATGTAACTCGTGGCCCCCTGTTGTTTAGACTTTTATTTACTCAAAGGAATTAGCAATTAACAGCTCTTTATTGCAGGGGATATGGTGATTCTGGGTTCTTTGTCCGGTACCTCTAACCAGCATTCCACTTGAAGCTGAGGAAAAGAGCAATAACAATTTCAGTAGAAGACTTTTTTGCACAGAGAAACAGTTTACGGCCCCTGTAGACTTACACGGTTTCGACAGTGATGGCTCTTAAAGACGTTTCCTAATTCTTCCGCATGCGTGGGTTCGGTCCCTGGACACATTTTACTGGAGCTTCCTGGTTCCCAAGCAGTGGTTTCCAATCTTTTCAAGTCTGAGGACTCCTTTTTACACTTGCACCCTTCTCAGCCTAATACTATTTGTACCTCTGGTAATCATCCCCTGAGAGAATACCTCCTGATGTTCTGTAATGCTTCCTTTTTGCCTCCCCAACTTTTTTATTTTTTCATTTTTTTAGAAGACTTTATTTATTAGAGAGAGAGAGAGAGCCCAAGTAGGCAGAGCTGCAGGCAGAGAGAGAGGGAGAAGCAGGCTCCCGCTGAGCAGAGAGCCCGATGCGGGGCTCGATCCCAGGACCCTGGGACCATGACCTGAGCTGAAGGCAGACGCTTAATGACTGAGCCACCCAGCTGCCCCTCCCCAATTTTTTTATTATGAAAAATTTTAAATACATGAAAGGGGTAAAAAATAGTACAGCATTTACTTCTAGAGCGTCACCTAGGTGCAACAATTATGAACATTTCCCATATCTGCTGTATCTGTTTATCTTCATTTTATTTGCTGAACAATTTGAAAGTCAGTAACAGACTTAATACTTCAGCTTGCATTCCCTACAAATAAAAACGTGTTCCTATATAACCATAATACTCTTCCACACCTAAGAAAGTAAACAGTGATTCCCTAAAATTGCCTTAATATGTGGCATATTCACGTATGTCTAATGATTTCCAAATGTCTTTTGTAGCTTCTCCCCCTTCCCCTTCAAATGCAGGATTTAGGCAAGAGTCACATGTGGCATTTGGTTTTATTTTTTTAAGTCTCTTTTAATCTGGAAAAGTTCTTTTACTTCTCTCCTTTTCCTCTATGACACTGACTTTTTTTTTTGACACTGACTTTTTGAAGAGATCAGGACGGTTGTCTTGCTGATTATCTTATACTGTAGATGTCTCTGATTCTATCTGCTTGGCTGCTTGTTTTAGAAGGAACTATTGAGGAAGGAAGCTATTCTTTATGGAAGAATGCTAGCTAATAAACATAGAAGGAATGATAGAAGTAGAAAATCAGCATTCTGCCACCTGCTATGAAATAATTAGTTAAGACAAAGATGCTAAAACTGTTAGGGAATAGAATACTCATCCAGTGCCAAAGTGTTACCCAACAGAACATCTGCCAAGTGCATTGGGGAAAACATACCTTGACAATGGTGAGGACTCAGGCCTGGGGATCCTTGGTTAAACTTGGCATCACTCCCAGTGAGATAACCTAACATCATGTGCCCCTGACATGCTGTGGGGACTAGTGCATGGTGTCATTTGTGGAGTATTCTTCCCCCAACATGCTTCATGTCAAATTTTTAGACCTAACTTTCAGTCTATAGGAAATACAGGGTTGAGAAACAAGTTAAATGACACCATGAGGAGACCATCAGACCAGTCCAGTAATGCTTTTAAGTGAGTTTGCATTTTACTAATCACCACTGTGTTTATCTTCCCCTGACAACTGGGAGGGCATATACACTTGAGCTGGGGTCCCTCAGTGAGCAGACAGAGCTGGTCCACAGGATGTGAACCCCTTGCAGTAACTGCTGCTCTTGGGGAATCATAGAACTCTGTAGACTATAGTTTCTTTGACAGGGTCATATTACAGCTTGCACGGCTTCTTAATAAATAAATACAGGGATTTAGCTCACAGATGTGTCAGTCTGCCACCTTTCAGAAAGACTGAATTCACTTAGTGAGGTATAAGGATGAAGGGCAGAAAATTGATCATGCCCCAAATATTTAACTTATGGGAGTTTATGTGTTTTGCAGTAGGGGTATTTGGAAAGAACTGGAAAATCAGCCCTGTTTTATTTGGTGCCCACTTATGATTAATTTAGTTTCTGGTGTTGCTATTCCTGAAACTGGTTTTCCAGAAATACTCTGAGACGTGGTTGTTTCGTCAAGGCAGTGTATTTATTGAGTGGTCATTGTTTCAACTCTAATTTATTATTGATCTTTCAGGCCCACAGCTGCAGAACTTTTAAAATGCAAATTCTTCCAGAAAGCCAAGGTAACATGCTTAAAAACCCACGTAAATCTGCTATTTTGAAATCACTGAATTTCTGCGTATGATATTTGGTGTTAAACTGTTGGGAACATTTGTTTTGCAGAACAGAGAGTACCTAATTGAGAAGCTGCTTACAAGAACCCCAGACATAGCCCAAAGAGCCAAAAAGGTAAGCGCCCCTAGCCTTTGTGATCCAGCAAGGGTGCTCCCCACCTAGGGAAATGAGACCCACAGAAACATAGGAAAAAGATTGCCACACACTCAGGATGTGTTGTTCAGAGGTTATCTGGTTAGCGATTCCTCAGATGGCTGCATTTTGCCTTTTGGGTATCTCTGGCTTGCTGTTATGTGTTTGTAGAAACAGTGTGACACTTGAATGATTTCATTTTTCCATTTATCAGCTTTTCTTAGAGAAGGTTAGAGTAGGGGAGGGGATCATGATGGGGCTTGAACCCTGGAGAGGTGAAATAGCCTTGAGGATCTTTCCTTTGGATATTTCACGGAGAGAAGCAGTCATTTTTAAGCAGTTTGAAATGACAAAAGAAAAACCAAAATTTGTTTTTAATGGTTATCTTTTAAAATCTGATTTTATTTACAAATTTAATGGTTATCTTGAGTATCTGTGGGACGTTGGTCTTTTCCTTATAAAAAGACCCTGGGCCCTCTTGTAATTTACCTTATGTTAAGTAAATTATATTAATGATTACCTGAAAAACTTTGCATTCTTGGTTTTAGATTCTTTAAATGGTGTGTATGTGTGAGTGTATTTGTTTATTTATCCAGAGTTTTATTTATTTGTAGATACTGATTTCGTTATGACATGAAACCTAACGAAATTTAACCTCTGGTTTGGTTTCGTTTGGTTTTAGAATTATATTAGATATTTATAATTAAAAATATTTATGTAGTCACCGATTTAGAAAGGAAGGTTCTCTCCCCCACGCCCCTTTTTATGGTTAATAGCTACAGGGAAAGCTGATCTGAACTGAGTTGTATGCTCTGAAATAAAACTGGCAGAGAAATATGGGTCAGAGATGGTATCTCATCGTGCCTGGCTGAAGTAACTCTGAATGTTACGTTCCAGCCATTGCCTTTTCTGAAACATTGTGTATGAAGTGCATTTCGCGGATGCCTTACAATTGTTTTAAGCAGACTTAAGAGTAGATTTTAAGAAACGACCTGCTGTGTCCAGGTGTGGGAGTGCTCCCCGGGACCAGCAGAGTCCTTGGGGTGGTGGGCCTGGGTGGGGGGGCAGGGGGATTGTCCCGTTGATTGCTCAGACCTGAGCCAGGGCTGGTTTGAGGGATGTCTCTAAGGGAAAAGTGAAAGTTTGGCAGATGGTCCATCAAGAGTGGTGCATTTCAAGGGGTGACACAGGTACACTAAAGCTTCGGTTAAGGCACAGAAGTATAAGGGCCCAGCCACTGTCTAACGGCTCTGGACAGAAGGCTGAAGGAGGACCCAGGAAAAGATGCCCTGGGGTGTGAGAGCCTGTTGCTGGGCTTTTGGTCAGTCATCTGAGGTGTTAGCCAGAGTTGGAAAAGGCTGTTAGGGAGCCTTTAGCTTGTTCAGTTTTTGTCATCCCCAAAGAACATTTTTGTTGGCCTTGACTTGTTTTGCTGGTTTTGTCTGGTCTCATTCTGTAGCTTTTCCCCCTGAGGGAGTTTGCCAGCCCTGTGTTCTCTCCAGAGCTTTAGCTTCACACCCCCAGCTCCTGTCAAATGGACTGGAGGCCTCAGAGGTGCAGTTTCCAAGTGGCTTCCCTCCCCTCCCAAACCTAATCTTCCTGTGTTGGGTGTTTCAGTCTGAGTCACCCGACCTCAGAACACTGGGATTATTTTTGTGTTTGGGGCCTCCTTTCCCCACGTCCTCCCCATCTAGCCCCTCTCCAGTCTCTGCCACAGTGCTCGGAATGTTCTCCTGGTTTTGACTGGACATTTGCAGTCCTTCCCTTCTGTTCCTCCTTTCTGTTCTTTCTTAGACACTGCCGCAGGAGTAACTTATGGATCATGTCACTTAATGGCTTCAAAGTGCTTCCCAAAATTAAACAAAAACAACCCCAAGAGCCCATAAATGAAAAAATAAAGTTCCTGTCAAAGAAAGGCCAACCTCCTTCGCCTTGAATTCATGGCACCATTTCAGCTTCCAGCCTTATGTTGTGAACTCCAGCTCAAGTGAACCACCCGTAGCTCTCACTGCACATACTTTGCTCACTAACCTGTACTTTCCTTTGAAACTCTTATCATTTTGAGAAAATGAAGAAGCTCTTCAGCTTCCAACTTTATTTTCTTTCTTTTAAAAAATATTTAAATTATTTATTACATATGAGTGTGCTGTGCATTTCAAACCCCGTTTTGCATGTCTCTCAAACCATAAGCAGCTAGAGTTTGGGGAGAAGTGATTTTTCAAGCCTGTCTTCTGCCATGTACTTGCTCCTGGACTTTAGACTTAAACCTCAGGGCTTGGTTTGTCATCCATCCCTTCAGATGGAGAATGGCCACACATCTTAGTGTCCCAGAGGAAGAGTGAAGGGAGAATATAAATTCATTCTTTAAACATCGTATAGGAACAAGAGTAGCCCATAGTAATGTTGTTCTTGCTCTCTAGCTTCATTACGTCTGCTGTTTTCCTGTTAGAATTCTTGTTTTCAAGTGCATGTGGGTTATCAGCTATGCCCCACTGCTTGTCAATAGGCTCCATGGCAGGTATGCTGACCAGAACATGGATCACAGTGCACGTCTTGCTCATATCAAGTGCCCACAGATGTTTGCTAACTCCATGAACATATATGCTTGTGTGTACCATGGAAAGGCCATTCGAAGCTCTGTTTTTTACGCATCCAAAATGCTTGGCATACACTCATTCCTGGGGATTCCTGTTAACAGCAGATAGACTGCCCTCTTTCCGTGGGGTGCATGATGTTGGGGAGCAACCATGCTGTTCCTTGCTTGAAGCTTTTGCAGGCTTGGTCCCATGGAAGTAAATATTATTTTAATCATCATGAGCATTGAAAACCTTTGTTGTAGGATTTCTTTGCTTGTCTTAGGTTCTTACCGTGTTTAAGTAAATTCAGTTTAAAAGTTGTTGCAGGGGAGTCCTTAGTGTTATTTGTGTCATCCATTTCTGGACTTCTCTTTATGGATGTCTCCTTGGCTGCTTACTTCCCGGTTGCTAAGGTGCCTCCTGGTTAATCATGCTCTGGTTTCCTGGTGTAAATTTCTTCTTCAGATGCTACTTGTTGCTGCTGGTGCTTTGATTTTTGTCTCCTCGGTTTGTTGTTTTAAAAACAGAAACAGACAGTCCATTGATATACCAGTGTTTAGAGGACAACTGGGCCTGTTGACCAAGCTCTGCACATTTAGGCAACCTGTGTGGATTTGAAATTTGTTGTCAGAAACAACAGTTTCTTGGGCATCTGGGTGGCTGAGTCGTTAAGCGTCTGCCTTCAGCTCAGGTCATGATCCCAGAGTTCCTGGATCGAGCCCCCTGTTGGGCTCCCTGCTTGGCAGGGAATCTGCTTCTCTCTCTGCCCCTCACCCTGCTCTCATGCTCTCTCTCTCTTTCAAATAAAAAAAAGAAACAACAGCTTCTGCTTCTCCTCCCTTATGATAACAAAAATTAAGAGATATTTTTCAATGTTTTTTTTTTTTACATGAACAATTCTCATATTTAAAAGAAAGAGGGGCCAGTTGTAGCTGTTCTCAGGAAGTCCCGTGAGCCCACCAGTGCTGTCCTGTGGCACAAGAGAAGTAGACACCTGTCATAGTCATGTTTGGCCAGAATGTGAAGCATTAGTTGGTTGCCATGGAATTCCGTGTGGGTAGGTGATCTGGTCTTTGTCCAGATTGATTCCTCTAAATCAGAAAAAAGAAATAGAAACAGACCAGTGTGGCTTTCCTGGTAATTTAGTGACATAAAATGATTGTGTGGGTGGGTGGGTGGGTGGGTGTGGGTGTGGTTGTGGGTGTGTTTGTAGTCGTTGCAGAAATTAGGCATATTTTTTTCTTCCTGGAGGCAGAGTATTTGGTCCATTTGGGTTGTTTTTTGTTTTTTGTTTTTCTGACAGACAGTGTTGCTTGGGGATCATCTTGATTTTCTTTTGCCCTAATTTTTCTGTCTGTGAAATGGAAATTCTGTCTGACCTCAGGCATGTGGTGAAGGATAATGAGAGATTTGATGTTCCTGGACCACAAGACATTCTGTGAATTCTAAATGAGAACATGCTAATAATGACCCATGAGAAAGAACAAGGTTAAGTACAGCTATAATTCTTTTCAACTTTTCATTTATCCTTATGCATGAGAAGAAAAGGCTTCATAGCCATTACTCCTTCTCATGTGACTTTTTAGGGACCTGTCTCCAGCCATCCTAATTTAGGGCTTTGAAAGCTTAAGCATATGGTGTTCCACTATTTATCCTACTGGATTCACTGGGTGGGGAAGAGCATAAATCATTCTCCTAAAATTGAGTGCAGGTGCTTAGGGCTGTGTGCATTTTCTGTAGGAGTATCTAAGTGTCAGATGGCTGGTGGCTCTGCTTTCTGTTAGTGATGCGAACCTTGAGTCACCATGTTCACGCTCCTATTCCTACACATTCTGTAGCTAAAACCCACTGATGGCAGGAGAGGGGCAACGGATTAGTTGCTATCCAGATATCTCAATGCCATCTGCTTAACCAAAAAGCATATTGGCCAGAGAAGGGATGAAGTTCTTTTTATTGTGGTTGGTTGTGTTTTCACAGGAAGAGGAATCACTGGAGGATTTTTGTTTGAATTTAATTTTGAAATTGAAAAGTTAGAAATGATTAGTCACCATCAGAAAGAAAGAGATGGGCGCCTGGGTGGCTCAGTCGGTTAAGTGTCTGACTCTTGATCTTGGCTTGGGTCTTGATTTCAGGTTCATGGGTTCAAACCCCACATTGGGATCCACGTTGGGTGTGGAGCCTACTTAAAAAGAAAGAAAGAAGGAAGGCAAGGAGGGAGGGAGGAAGGAAGGAAGGGAAGAAGGGAAGAGATACTGTATCACTGCTGCATTTGGATGGAACCATTGTGAATTGGAAAAAGTAGGGTGGTATTTGTGGACCCCAGAATTTCTTGTATCAGGCTCATAAGATTGATTTCATATTAGGGACCCTGGGAGTTGGCTTCATTTGATCCTCCTATGTGCTTAG